TCTCATATTCGACAAATTTTCATTTTTTAACTTCTTCGAAGAAAATTAATTGAAGAACAAGAGTAAACTTTCACTATAGTAGCACCGAAGCTCCAATACCTTTCACAAATAAAAAATTTTCCATACAAAAGTTTTACTTTCATCGGTCTGTTTATCTGACATCTATATGCTATAGAGGTCTGATGTAAACAATTTCTTCGTAGATTGCAAGGTTGGCTCAGGCGAAATTTTGTTGGGATATCTGCTAAAATCAGAGAGTTTTTCATACAAGAACTTGACTTGGATCGCTCATATCGTATTTCAGCTATATACTACATCGCCAAAAAAAAAAATAATTTCAATACAAAGACAGTTTTATGAAAATTTAGTTTGTATTACAGTTATATGCTATAGTTGCACGATCTGAACCATTTCTTTAATGAAAAGTTTTGCCTCTTTGGCAAATAATCGGTGCCAAATTTCATGAAGATATCTCGTAAAATCAGAAAGTTGCCCATACAACCGCTTAGTTCTGCTCGTGCAGTTTGTATGACAGCTGTAAGCTATACTGGTGCAATATCAGCGGTTCCGACCAATAAGCAGCTTAGTTAAAAGAAAAAGGGGTGTGTAAAATCTCAGATTGATATCTAAAAAACGGGGCTAGGCAACATATATTTATCCATACGGTCATGACTTAATGAACTCGACTTGGCATTGATAATAAAAAAAAAAATATATATATATATATACTCGTTTGTATACCATATATTATAAGGTTTTCTACGTTTCCTTGTGGATATTACATGCTGCGTGGAAAACAATATACCCTGTTCAGGTCATAATAATAACATTAATTGTGAAGAGTGTAAGAGGCGTATGAGTAACTAATTTTGCTTATAACTGGTAATGAACATCGAATGTAGTCAACACCAACGTCTCTAAATGGAAGCTTATTTAATGTTATATTATTAAATGGTAATGGTTTACCATTATAATCGCTTACTGATAAATTTTCCAAAAATTAAATACAAATATATTTTCTTCATAGATAATACCGAAAAAATATCAGCAAAAGTTTATTCAAATTTTATTAATTTTTTAGAGTAGTAAGCTATAAGCTCAACGATCGCGACTAATCCGTATGGTTTGTAGTTTTTGCAAACTATTTTCATTAGAAACTCTAACGCATTGTAAATTTGCAATCAAACTTGCTATCTAAGTAGTGGAGGTGATCAATAGCTCTAAATTGTGGGTAAAGACTGCAATCATCGCTGATCGACAGCTCTTGGAAACCAATGCAGTGATTAACGAGACTAAAAATCAATTGGTGATTGGTACAATAGCAATTAAAAATAAATTATTTTTTAGCGCTTGAATCATATGTGTCTTTTGTCGCCTGATCATGACGATATTGCATGATCAATTAGTAAAAAAAGTGTATAAAAAATACATAGAAAAATAGAAATAAAAATAAAAGCGAAAGTAAATCATTTCAACTTACAGCCAAATACGGAAATAGATTTTTCGCTCGAAATAAAAAAAAAACAACATTTGTTCATAGCTCAACTCACCCTTGTTGCAAATGCAGCAGGCAACACCAACAAACACACGGATGCAACACGCATACACACACAATATCGTGCGTATACTGGAACTAAGATAACTGCTCAAATATACCGAAAAACACGACTAAACGCCGATTTCGTGCAACGATGCGTGTCGCAAATCGCTGAGATCAAGTCAAAAAAGTCAAACAATCAGCAACGTCGAACGCTTGCCACGCGCACGCATATGCATACAACTTTTACTTTCGAAATTCTAATTTTTTGCACTTGTTTAATTTGCGCTTCTTGAATTTTTTTCGTGCGTTCACTTTGAATCGTTTTGTGGGAATAGTGCATACGCGCTGCAGCAAACTAGTGGCATAGTACTGGTTTTGCGAGGCAGTGTCGCGGCAGCAGGCGATGCGCCGCAGACGCAGGCATCCAAACGACGAGAACTGTGTGACGCGAACGCAGCGTCAAGAGGAGCGCGCGGCACGGGTGGCAGTAGGTGACACAATCAACAAAAAAAAAACAAAAAAAAACGTTGAGGCAGAGGTGGGCAGGCGTTGGTGTCGCAGCCACAGTTGCATTCAAAAAAAAAAAGGAACAGCAACAGCAACAATAGCAACAATAAATAGTAGTTACGGCAGTAATACGCAAGCAATTTGCGCTATTCACACGGACGCGCATAGGCGAGCGCAACGACGTGACGACGCCAGCAATTACGCCAGCCCAGCGGCTCACACGGCAGCGTTGAAACTACGACGCGAACGCGTTTGCACGGAAAATATGGGCTTTTTTTCGCAATGGGGTCGCACAGGAATTTCGCATATTCGCACGTTTGCCAGCGAAGCGCTTCGCGTTTTCGTGAATTTCTACGAATTTCTTGCACTATTATTCAGAGGTTTCAAGCACAACTCTATGCATTAGATAATTGCTGTTTACACAATTCTTACGATTATTATTATTACTGCTCTAATTATTTGCAATACTCATTTTAATTTCATGTTAGCTTACGAATATTTTTTATAGCCACGTAAAATTGAGTTTTAGCAAATTTCCAATATTATTTATTCGACACAACAACAGCGCCGCTGTGCGCGTTCACCCAAAAACGTGCCTAAGCGTTAGCGCGAACCGCCCCTAGCTACAGCGCGCGTGTGACGGTTGTACAGAGTAGAAGTGCGGCGATAGTGAGGCGCGTGCATGCGGCGCTTTCAAGGTCAACTGATAGCGGGCGGTGTGGGTAAAAGTGACGATTCTAAGATACCAAGCCGTAGCTAGCGAAAAATTGTGCGCATACAATTCGCGAACACTTAGAACGCGCCCGTTTCGGCAACTATATGCGCTGGCGGGCCTGGGGGCTAGGCGAGTTCAATGCACACAGGACATAAAACACACAAGTGGCTGCAGCTGTTCCGCTAGGAAATACGCGCACTGTCGTTACGTATACGCCACGTCGTTCAACGACCGATTAATGGTTGCAACTGTCCGTCCGGTGCTTAGCGGCCGTAGACGAATGCTATGCCTTGGCAGGCGCGCGCGCGTGTATATGTATGTGTATGCTTATGTTTTGTGTCATTTCTCGCTCACCGATACAAGTTCAAGAATTTTTATGCATTTCGTATGTGCGCGATGGCATCACTTGCGCCGCGCTCTGGTGAGCGCTGAGAGTCAATGCAAATTTTTGGCAAGCAAGCATTAGTTAGTTTACCGCTGATGCCGCGGGCAATGTTTGTCGTGCGCGCGGCTAGTTTGCCTTTCAAACATTTACTGACGCATCTCGTGCAGCGCTGGTTCGACAACAAACCATACACATACAAGCAGTAGCGCGTCAAGACGAGCGGGTTATGCAAACTAAACGATGAAGTTAGCCACTGCACACCAGATCGTTAGAATTTAAAGAATATGTGTGTAAATAAGCACAGAAAAGTGTGAAAGTAAAATATATAACAGAAATAGCAAATATTTGAAAAGCGATCAGCGTTTGTGGGCGCACACGAGCGCATGTTTAGGCGGGAGCAAGGCAGCACTCGGTTAGATTGGTTTCGGCTGTTTTATTTATTGCTGCTAGCTGCTGTTTTATCAGTTTTGCTGCGAAATTGCTTTATTCGAGTGCAGTTACGCACATCAAAATATACACGTTGAACTTAGCGGGCGAAAGGCATAAAGTGCTTAACTCAATTTGATGAAGAATTGAGCAAAAGTTTTTATAGATTGTACTTTTGCTCGATCTTAACCCTGGCCAAATACAAAGCCACATAAAGAGTCCCTTTTATATTTTTCTCACACTTTTCTTGAGCCTTTGCCAGTGTACAAGAAGATAATGATATACACAAAGCGCTAGAAATTCCCTTTGTCAGCGAAAGCAAAAAAAAAAAAAAAATCATAAGAAGTTGTCTAATTTAATTTTACTTTTTTACTTTTATTTAGAATTTAGTGTTTTTTGTTTCGTTTATTTCATATTCATATTTTTTTTAATTTT